TTTCACTGTTATTGCAACCTCGTGGAGCTCTGCTGGAGATACCTGAAGTACGGCCTCAATAAGATTGGAAGAACCACGGATAAGCTGGAAACAGTAATGTTTTCTAGAACACACCCTTCACACGTTTGTGATAATGCAAAACTAATGCTCCGTCGTTAAAATCAGAATGAATGCAGTGGAGATATTGGGGAGAGTGTCCAGGGACCTCTGCAAGCCTGGTGTGGGAAGACGTTAGAAGAGGAAGACTCGGCGCGATTGAAAGAGGCTTTGAATGCCAGCTATGGTAATATGGGCGCTGAAGAGTCCTCATCATTTGACAGTGACAGTTTCTCTAGTCTTTCTAACCAATCCAAATCTGTTTTTGCGTTCAGTAATGGTCTTGTTACCTTTCCATCTCTACTGCACCTGCCGGAGTTCTTTCTATAGTCTACCTCACTCCACAGCTAGTAGGTTTACACGTTTTCTAACAACACCATATGATGCTACTTCTTTACTGATAGCCTTCATATGAAGGAAACAGAAGAGCTATGCCTATGGTACCTTCGTAAAGAACCGGAAAAGGTAAGCTTGATACTGACAACTGTATATTTGGGTCAGCTAATGACTTGAAGAGAAACACCATAAAGCGTAATGTACCCATTCAAAGACACATGGTACGCTCAAACACATTGAGGGTGTATGAGACTATCAGCCCCCCAGCTGTCGATATGTCGTAGTCCCCCCGCCCAAAAGTGCACGGGGTCGGAGTACGGGGCTGTGATAAAGTCTGGTTCCTTGCTGCGCCTCCCAAATTGCAATACACGCCGCAGGGCGCGCCGCACGTGCAGAGACGCCACTACCATATCCCTGCTTGTCCACATTAGGCGCTCAATCCTAATTTTTTTTTGTTTTCTTCGCCTTTTACGCTCGGTGTTTCGTGTTTTTTTTCTCTTTTTCGTTTTTTTTTCATGTTTAGATGTTTAGGTCATGCCGACACGAGGACCCCCACTCGTTCCCTATGGCTCTGAACACTGGTTAGTTTTTAATTCCTTTTTTCTTTTTCGCTGTTGGCCTCTTTTTTTGTTTCAATGTTCTTTTTTGTTTTTAGTTTACGTGATGGGTGCGAAGGCCTGATGTATGTGTTTTTATTGTTTAATTTACTCCTACAATTTTTTTTCAGATTACGCGCTCGTTGGACCGAATTTTTTCCCCGCGCCACTTCAACATGGTAAGCCGTTAATTTGTCAAATGTTGTTTTTGTATTGTTCGAGTTTTTCTTTTTACTTTTTTTGTCTGTACTAGATGTCGTATTTGCGATTCCGAGTTTTTACTGTGTGTTTATCTTGCAAGTTTTCTTTCAGGTCGTGCCATCGTCCACATCTCCGTCCTGCTGTTCCAGGTGAGTTGTTTACTTCCAGTCTAATGTTGTTTTTCTGTTCTTGTGTTCATAGTAGGCTGCGTAACTCATTCTTTCATGTGTTTTTTGTGTGTTTACCTTGTCGAAATTTCTTTCTAGGTCGTACCTTCCTCCACTTCTTCCTCCTGCTGTTCCAGTGAGTTGTTTACTTCCAGTCTGATCGTTCACATCTCTACTGGCTCGCTGCTGAATATCTCCCATAAGATGAGGACCCACGCACATGTGTAGAGGTTTGTTAATAACAACGCCTTATTCACATCGAAGCAGATACAAGGCAGATGAAAAAATCAGACGAGTTCATCTAGAAACTGAAGAGCGGCCGCAGAAAAACAGGAATTGTGTTGAACAGTATCCATCAGCGAAATGTAAGTGAAACGTATTGATGACATAAAATTGCAGCTAGTCTCTTCGAGATCTTCCGTATTCAGCTTGCCAGTCGTTAGTTTGATGGCGCGCCTAAATAGGGAAGATGTCCTCAGGAACTTGAAGAATTAGACAGGAGTGAAAAACTCACCATCTCCTGATGAGCAGTTGAGAGTAGCACCGCCTGAAATAATTATGGCAAGAAATGGAAGCGATAAGAAACATAAAAACGAAAATTTTCCGATCAACCTTCTAAGAGAGAAAGGCGCTCGAACATAAGAAAACATAAACAGAACAATAAATGGAAGTAAACAACTTACCATCGTGCAAAAGGGCAGCAAAAGCGAGGACGTCGGCGAGGGCACGACCTGAAAGAAAACTCGCAAGATAAACACACAAAAAACACATGAAAGAATGAGTTACGCAGCCTACTATGAACACAAGAACAGAAAAACAACATCAGACTAGAAGTAAAGCAGCCTCATCTGCGAAACTTCATCACCGCTGACATCCCGTCCAACCTTGTCGAAGAGATCAATGGCATGAGCATGGGATCAACATTAATGCCTTTCTTGTCTTACTTGCATTTTTGCAAGATGTAATTATCAGAACTTTAAGACTGCTGTCGTAACTGGTCGGGATGTGTGGTCGTTCATTAATCGCGCGTTGGAAGGGTATTATGGGACTCCGAGTGGCCTATACTCCAGATGAACCAGGTCTACAGTCAAATTCGTGAGGACTCTCTGACCATAAAGCATTAATCCTAAGTTCAGGGGGGCTCGGTGGAAGCTTACCCAGTACCGATGCCGACGAAACGGAAGCGGGCTTGGGCCCGGTGGATGCTGAACCCAGTGCCGATGCCGACGAAACGGAAGCGGGCTTGGAAAATGTTGACATGGAAGGCGAATGTGAAGAAGACGACTATGCATCCGATGTAAATGCAAGGGTTTTCAATCATATGTGGGTAACAGGAACATTCATTTTATTACTGCTGGCTTCTGAGTACGCCCCGAGCGACAGCGGTTCGGAGAGCAGTTCGACAGTGGCCGCTCCACTCGATGAGACGAAAGGCGACGATTTGGAGAACTATTACCTGGTGAATGGGAAAATGTTGATGAAGCTGTTCTGTTTTTGTCCTGAGTGCAGAAACCGACTTGAGACGGTACAGCTCAAACCTGTGGGCACTGCAGCTGTGGTGCGATTTTTGTGTGATGAGTTAGTGGAGCATCCCAAGGAGCGTAGGTTCAAAGGAAACATCGCTGCAGCGGTAGCTGCGATAACCACTGGAATGCGATATAAGGTCAGTAGTAAGGAGATCGATATGTTAGGAACAATGCGAGACTCCGAAATTCAGGAATTGGAGCGGTGGGCCGACGAACTGAAGCTGGCTCTATTTTCGCATAAGTTTTTTTTACAACGTGCTCGAGTTGACGAAGCCAGCTATCGAGACGGTCTACCGCTCACGCCAGCAGCTCGTTCTTGAACTATTGAAGAGGGAAGATGAGGTACAACATGTAGTCTTCAAGAAATATCTTTCACAGTACGTAACGGTTTCTTGAATGCAGAAGGGCCAAGGCCTCCACCTAGCAGCCGATGGGGCTTACGACAGCCGAGGATACTCGGCCTTGATTGGCAAAGTGGTGCTGTCGGAAGTGAGCACGAAGCTGATCATCCATACTGAAGTGCTCCATCGGTCAGAAACGGGTGAGGAGAATACGAATAAACACCATTATGCATGTGATCAAAACTTTTCTAGAGAACGTCAGTGCGCGCATGGAAAGAAGGTGAGGCGCGTGCTGCAGTTTGTACGCAGCTGCGGACTGCGCATTTTGCAGTGACAACAGATCGCGATCAGTCGTGTGCTAGGAGTCATGTTGCGGGAGATGGAGCCTGAGCTCGGTGGCATCACTATTATTACGACGGGTGGCATCTGGTTAAGTGGTTGGGAAACGAGCTCAGGAAGGGAGGATAAGAAAAGGAGCGTTATGTCGGGAATCATCATGCCATTTTATGCTTCGCATTACTTTGCAGGCAGCTAAGAAGAGGGACTGCAGCAAGTTTGCCCTTTGGATAGAGAAGGTGAAAACACACCTGTGGACAGCGATCCAACGGGAAGCAGAAATGGGGACCACCAGGGCCTTTTTCAATACCTGCCTGATGCATGATCAAGGCATGCATCAGTGGCCTTTGGTCTGCGTTTTTGCTTACAATTTTTGCGATCTGGCCAGTTTCCAGTTGCGCTATTGCAGGACAACCTTACGGCCCCACACCAGCTGTTCACACGCTCCCTTGCCAGGTCCGCGACCCATAGAGATGAGTGCAGGTAGTAAGGCGTACAAGGCATCCCGCGAGGTCGTCCTTACCAGGTCTCTCCAGAATGATTTAGATAAGGTCAGCCCTCATAGAGGCACTTCTATGTGCGAGTCCAAATACGCATTGGATAGGATTTATTGCCGCAAGGAAATATTCTATCCGATCCAGACCTACCCGCTGTACACCATGATGGCCACAATGCACATGAATACATTGCGGTTAGCGGATATGAGCGGGACAAGAAAAGTGGTGAAGATACGCATGATCCAGCGAAAGTACCTTACGAGGACGTTTAAGCTGGTCGTGAAAACTTCACCAGAACAGTACTGGAGAGGCATGGTATTGAAGGAGGTCCTCAAGGGACGCCTTCGAGCCTTGAGAGAGAGAGTGGTGGTAGCGAGTGGCTCGCGGACTACTTGGCTGCGGAACTCGAGGAGGAGCTGTGATTCGGTAAGAGTTGTGTGTCACCCAACCGACGTTAAAGCCTAAGAAAACAATTACCAGAGAGTGGATATTACGCGGTTCTTCTTGCTGAGTCCTCGAGCCTCTTAATGTCCACCTGCTCCCCAAACATTCTCCTAAACCAATTGAAGAATTCACCCTTTCCCATTTTCAGCCTTCCTCTGTCCCGCCTTCTCCTGTTCCCTCTTCACATCTCTACTGGTCGCTGCTGAATATCTCCCATAAGATGAGGACCCACGCACATGTGTAGAGGTTTGTTAATAACAACGCTTTATTCACATCGAAGCAGATACAAGGCAAGATGAAAAAATCAGACGAGTCATCCTAGAAACTGAAGAGCGGCCGCAGAAAAAACCAGGAATTGTGTTGAACAGTATCCAATCAGCGAAATGTAAGTGAAACGTATTTGATGACATAAAATTGCAGCTAGTCTCTTCGAGATCTTCCGTATTCAGCTTGCCAGTCGTTAGTTGATGGCGCGCCTAAATAGGGAAGATGTCCTCGGAACTTGAAGAATTAGACAGGAGTGAAAACTCACCATCTCCTGATGTAGCAGTTGAGAGTAGCACCGCCTGAAATAATTATGGCAAGAAATGGAAGCGATAAGAAACATAAAAACGAAAATTTTCCGATCAACCTTCTAAGAAGAGAAAGGCGCTCGAACATAAGAAAACATAAACAGAACAATAAATGGAAGTAAACAACTTACCATCGTGCAATAGGGCAGCAAAAGCGAGGACGTCGGCGAGGGCACGACCTGAAAGAAAACTCGCAAGATAAACACACAAAAAACACATGAAAGAATGAGTTACGCAGCCTACTATGAACACAAGAACAGAAAAACAACATCAGACTAGAAGTAAACAGCTCACCTGGAACAGGAGGGAGAAGTGGACGAGGGCACGACCTGGAAGAAATTTCGAAAGGTAAACACACAAAAAACACACGAAAGAATGAGTTGCGCAACCTAATTATGAAACAGTAAACAACTCACCTGGAACAGCAGGACGGAGATGTGGACGCTGGCACGACCTGAAAGAAAACTTGCAAGATAAACACCACAGTAAAAACTCGGAATCACAAATACGCCATCTAGTACGACAAAAAGTAAAAAAGAGAATACTCGAACAATACATACAAAAACATCATTTGACAAATTAACAACTTACCATGTTGAAGTGGCGCGGGGAAAAAAATTCGGTCCAACGAGCGCGTAATCTGAAAAAAAAAATTGCAGGAGTAAATTGAACAATAAAAACTTCAGGCCTTCGCACCCATCACGTAAACTAAAAACAAGAAAGAACATTGAAACAAAAAAGAGGCCAACAACTAAAAAGAAAAAAGGAATTAAAAACTTACCAGTGTTCAGAGCCATAGGGAACGGGTGGGGGTCCTCGTGTCGGCATGACCTAAACATCTAAACATGAAAAAAAAACGAAAAAGAGAAAAAAAACACGAAACACCGAGCGTAAAGGCGAAGAAAACAAAAAAAAATTTAGGATTGAGCGCCTAGTGTGGACAAGCAGGGATATGGTAGTGGCGTCTCTGCACGTGCGGCGCGCCCTGCGGCGTGTATTGCAATTTGGGCGGCGTAGCAAGGAACCAGACTTTCCCACGGCCCCGTACTCCGACCCCGTGCACTTTTGGGCGGGGGACCACGACATATCGACAGCTGGGGGGCTGATAGTCTCATACACCCTCAATGTGTTTGAGCGTAGCATGTGTGTTTAACCCCCCCCCCCCTCAAGCAACTCTGCCGAAATTTCATGGCAATGCTTTCCGGAATATTGGGCCATCTTTGAAGCTCTCGTCCACAACAATCCTGACTTGGACGTTATGGAAAAAATTTTGCTACTGAAGGAAAGACTAAGAGGTAGAGCAGAGGCCTCAATAAAGGGAATAAGAATCCTTCCACAAAACTATGATTGGGTAATAGAAACTCTGAAGGAAAACTACTGTAATCAGCCCACAAATAGATCGCAGGTAGTGCAGAGACTGTTCAATCTGAAGCCAGCAAACGAAACTGCGGATAGCTGCTCAAACATATTCGATCAGATTCAAATATTAGTCAATCAGATGGTATATACCGGTTATGATGTGCGAAAACTTGCGACGCAATGTGGTGTGAAGCGATTTTGGCCAAATTCCGAGATCGTGAAGCCTGTCCTCATATCAGGCCAGACGATGCCTATGCAAACAGTCGAAAATCTGATGGGTCAATTGAAGAAAGAAGTTGCCGCAAAGTGCTATGTCGAAAACAGACTCGGGCGCTCAATCGAGCGCAGCTACGACCATGCAATCAAAGATGAGGTCATAACAATGAGGGACGATTACCCTTCACGGCATGATCCTAGCCAAAGGTGTATATTCTGCCAGAGTGTCAAACGTATGTCGGTGACATGTAGAACTGTCGGAGACCGATACAGTCGCAGAAGTATACTAAAGGAACAGAGAAGGTGCTGGAAGTGCTTTTCTCCTAACCTCAATAGTTGTGACTGTGCCAAGCCAGACTGCAGTCAATGTGGGCAAGAGCGCCACATAACACTATGTTAAAACGAGTAACAATCAAAGTGCATCCAATCAGAGGATGCCGTGGACCATACTCAGCAAGTACACCTCCCGATGAATTCAAACCACTTGAGACCATGCAATCAGCGCCACGATGAAACTCACAACACCGAAAAGCCAAACATCACCAACGCTTTAATGTGCACCGAGGACAGAGCGTATGGGCACAGTGACAGTAATCGCGCTAATTCATAAGTGGCAATGATGACAGCCGAAGGAAGTGTCTAGAACTACAGATCGGATGCATATGAGAAGATTGTTTTTCTTGTTGACATCGGAACTCAAAAAAACGCTCATTCAAGAGTCCTTAGCCGTAAGATTCGGTCTTCCACGTGACGTTACTGAAGTCTGTACAATGTCGGGCATTGGAGGCCACATTGCGAAATTCGAAAGCCATAGAGTTAGAGTCAAAATCAGCACCGCCTCCGGAGAAGGGTTAGAGTTCGAGTTCCAGACAAAGCCGGTGATTATAAACGGTTTCTCAAGCGTGAACCTCACCTCCTCAGATAGAGATTTCGTGAAAGGGAAAGGCATCTGCTCAGCTAACTCCAAGTTCCGAGGGGAGCATCTAACACCGCTCGTTCTAGTGGGCTCAAATTATTATCATGAGCTCGTAGAGAGTTACGCGAGCGGAACGAAAACTCCCTCCGGTCTGTACATATCAAAAACTATTTTTGGACCCGTGATATACGGCAAGGGAGAAATCCCACCTCAACATATGGAAACAAAAAAAGACGTTGCCTGCGGACTAACTGCAATTTTCAAGCAGGTTAAAGAAGGCATGGTGCAAAACCAACAGCCAAAAACATCACGACATCTACCGAGACCATGTCAAAAAATCGGTGGACATTCCGTCGTCAAGCAGAAGGCTGTGTCGAGAGGAAACCCTCAGCATGGTAAAGTGAAAGAGGTAGAGAAATTGAAAAATACCTCCATAAGACTGAAAGAAAGCAAGCTCAACCACAGAATCTTCACAGCCCTATGAAGAAGCCGTGGGCAACATGAAAATCAAGATCAAACACGGTAAACCGGACAATTAGAACAACAAAGAGTGGTGGCCAAAAACAACTCTAAACAACCCGAAATCCGGCCAATCTTACAGCGTAAATGGAAAATTGCTAACCTTGACAGAATCCGATATGTTGAGAAAGACTTTCAAAGATCCTCACAACCGCCCTCATTAAGCATCCCTATGCTCATTCTTGCGGTTCTAGCTCTAATTTCGCCAGCCCCAGCACTATCGAACAGCAGCTGTGCCCAAATAATGGTGAATATATTGTCCGTTGATAGACCACTCGCATCATGTTCTAACGACGAATGTCGAAACATAACAAATCAGACCAATAGATGGAGGTACAACCTTGCCCCTTATGAAGAAGTCGTAGAACGATCACAACAACGCTATTGTCATGAAACATCAGCAGAGGGTGTAACTTATATAGGGCCAGTCACTGCATACTGCTGAAGCCTAACACAGTGCCTTATGAATACAGCACTGTTCATTTGATGAAAGCAGTTCCGCTCCTTGCATGCACTTATCGAATACGTGAGCGGAAAGGTGATGCGGTTGAGAGCAGAAACGTGAAAACATTGAACATATACAAAAAATCACATTCAAGAAAGAGTGTATACGATGACAATAAGTCAGGTGCATTGCACATAACAATTAGTGTTTGACCTTGAACGGCAGAAAACTGCAATGTCGCCATAACTTTATCCTCAGGCCTTGCCTCATTAGCGAGTGCTCGTGTCTGAGCTTATCCAAAATGCTCCTCCAGGTACGGCTATAAAGTGCCCAATACGCCTGTATCACCACTTAATAAACTGAGTGACTAGATGAGTCCGTGTCATGTCCGTCATTACTAGACACCCAACAAAAGCGGAGAAATCATGAATGACTGACGTCTCCGCAGCGGCATTGCACTGAAGGATAACCTACCTTCTGTCGCTCAAGGAGAAAGTTGTTAACGATTTCTCTTTGTTAAAGTTTGTACCAATGTTCTAGCATTATCGCATAAAATGTTACAACTTCATCGTTTTCTTCAGAATGGGGAACTAGCTGAATCAAGATTGAAGACTTTCTCTGATTCCTATGTCGCGTGTAAGTGGCCATTTTGAAAAGAAAAAAAGCCGCACCCCTCGTACTTCACGTGCTCTGGTGGGCATTTTTTCGCCTTTAGTTTTTTAGTTTAACAAACGGGGCTGTTGCGATGAAAGTAGCGTGCCATTTACACTAACTGCCTACTTTTCCCCCTCAGAACTCGCGTAATAAGAAAAGAGAAAGCGACATCATAACAAGACCACATGGTCTCAAAACAATCCCCATTCTCAGACATATGGTTGCTCCTGTTTCTTCGTTTGCTCCCGTATTAGTTCATCCTTTTAACTAGCTTCCATGACGACGTATTTGTGAATGGGATTTCGTCACTTATTTCCCTGGTATGGCAAGAAAGGTGAGCATGCGAGTGCCATCGCATCATACGCATAAAGGAGCTGGTAAAGACCGATGGTCGGCTACTCGTGTAGTTCGAAACAAAACAGAAGCAGACCGGACTTGAACAGAAAGTTCCAGAATAATGGTCCCATTACACGGAAACAGAACTCCGATGTGTGTTCATTTGTATTATCGTTTCCACCCAACAATATCATTTGTATTATCGTTTCCACCCATCAATATCATTTGTATTATCGTTTCCACCCATCCTTGTCTTATCCTTCTCATCCTGGGTTCATTTGTCGTTCCTTTTTATAGCCGCACGCTCGGCCAAAGAGACGCAATCGTCAGAGTGGTCCCTCCTCATTTGAAATACCATGCCGCAGCAGCGTGTAGGAATAAATACCCATACTGGCTGAAACAAAAGGACTAAAACCGCAACCTTACGGCATATGCGTAGTAAGCGAGCGCCGCGCAGTGAAAGCTGCACCATCACCTGCTTCGACACCGATAAGTACTAAAGTTTATCTGGCACATAAGTACATGAATAAAAGGTGAAAGAAGTCAACATGCTGCATTCATAACGATGAAATACATGGCATTTTACGAAGGCAAACACATTCGGAAGTAAGACAAGCTACACGAACAAGAAACAGTACAACGCAAATAAGAAAGAACGGAGATCAAGCAGGTCTGGTGGTTGAGGGCGTCGCCCTTAGGAAGAAAGGAGAGGTAGACGCAGCTGTCCTCAACCCGTGCGGCGAGACGTCTCCTTGATCCAGCTTACTGTCGCTTCGCCCTGAAAAGGCATGAGTCACCCTGGAGCAAAGTCAACCACACTAAACCGTTTACACCTCCCCCTTTACCCAAAGTCCGTCTCGGACTTTTTGAAAAGGAATGATGAGCTGACCGAGGCGGGGAGTGGGGATTCACTCACGAAAGTATCGCTGCAGGTGATCGGCGGGAGCGACGGCGTTGATACTGGTGGCCCAATCTCCACTCTTTTCCAGAACGGCGACGACGAGCGAAGAAACTTTGCCTAGGATGAATTGCCCATGGCGGCATCTTGATATTGCTACGTTCATCCGGCGATAATCATCGTGGAAGTCAGCTGAATCAGGCGAAAAGTTAGTTCGCGTTGTTAAAAGAATGACTACCTGTCTTTCGCGTTTTTGAACTGAATCGACAGTCGTCAGCTCGACTTTCAGGGCATCTAACTGCTGCTGCAGGTGTAGTGACTGTTCCTCGTAAAAGGATACCACGCGCAACTGAGGGGAGGGGGCGGAGCCCTTTGAGCAGAGCTCGGGGTGAGCTCGGAAGGTGGTGACGAGCGGAGCGACGGGGACGGCCGCAGCGTTCACCAGCACAGTCAC